ATCTGTCTCTTGTCTAGGCGGCCATACAAGCCATTCTTTAGAGATAACACACTTGTGATTACTAGAATCTTTTGTTTGTTTAGATTCGACAGGCACCTTCCATCAAGTAAGTATTGGTGAGAGTCGTCCGTCGGGCTCAACTTCGTTTTGAGCCGCACTCTCGAAGTTAAACTTCATTATGCGATTTATTATTTTATACCAATCAAGGCAGGTGAAAATTGGAAAACCAGAAAACACACAATTAACGCCGGGGGACTTACTGATGAACCTCACGCGTACCTGAGCTTTTAGTTAGTACCTGTGCTTTCAAAGGGGAAAATAATTACGTAGTAAAGCACAATATTATGGAGATGCTTTTATGGTATCCAGCGATGGATGTTGTGGACAGCAGGCGTATCACGTTTGAAGAAATAAACTGCCACAAACGCACTGTGGACAAAAAATTTTTAACTTACCTGTGCATAATAATGCCAACTCTAAAAACCGTAAGGCTGTGATTTGCGCTCTGTAGGTGATGATTTTTATACCCAGAACGCAAGCTGTCCCCGACGAGAAAATTGGCCATGTTCTAGAAAGCAGGTTTTCGGTAGCATTTCTTTTTACACTTTTAATGGTTCTGTAAGCGGTCCCGCCGAAGTCTCCCAGTAGTGGATATCATAAGGACAGGACAGAAGTCAAAGATTTGAAGGCCAACTTGGATCGATAAGTCGCATTTCGCGTGGCGCCCGCATAATGGGTGACTCGAGGACGTTCTCGCCCTTTCTTCGCGTTGCTCTCAAGGCCGTGCTGACGGACACTATAACCGACTTTTCGGCCCTCCACAAGGCTGCCTCCTGTGGTGCAACCCTACCAGAGAAGTCACTCAACAAAACAGACGCAGACACTGATGCCTCTAACCCCGACAATCTGCTTCAGGAGCTGAACAAGGTGTTTTTTGAGACCCTCATTCGATTTGAAAAGTGTCGACGCGAAGACTACATCGAACTGGAGGATGGAAACTTCCGCAAATTGAGCGATGATGAGAGCATGCTACGCACCTTTCTTGAGGAGGTGGCCAAGGTGATTGAAATCCTGAAGCTCCTCACTAACGAAATTGAGGACAGAGGCACATGCCATTCCCTGGAAACCCAGTGTGATATTAAACAGGCCTCAGTTGACATTCTGGTCGATTTGGCCGAGAGCTCCATGGAGAAAGAGGAGCTCATTGAGGATCTAAGGCGTCGGATTAGCCTCGCCGGGGTTGAATTCGCAAAACAGAAGGAACTCTACCTCAGCGCACTGAAACGCATGCGTAACGAATGGCAGGAAGGTCGCCAATTGGCTGAAATGACCATCAAGTACCTGAAGGCGACTTACAAACAGCGTGCAAACGTTCACACGGCAGCCTGCAACGCGAACGCTCGCCAGCTGATCGATGAGACAGCCCTACTGCGGAAGAAGATTGGTCAGGAGAAGCGAGAGTTTGCCGAGTGCATGACCTGGCTTTTCACAGAACTCGACACGGAGGCCAATCGACTCAGGTACCTGCAGGGCCGCAACGACGTTGAAGAGTTGTCAAAAAGACTGGAAAAAATGGAGGAAGACTTAGCCAAGGAGACGGAAGAACACACTGCTTTGAAGAAGGAATTTGCGCACTGCGAGGCGGTTGTCACAGAATACCGACTTGAACAGGAGAAAAAGAGACTGCAGGAGGAATATCAGCACAAGATGACGATATGTGTTCTGCAGGTTCAGTGCTGGTGGAGAACCATGATTGAAATCAGAGGCATCAAACTCAAAAGGAAGAGAGGCAAAGGCAAGGGTAAGAAGAAGTAAGAAACAGGGGTAGTGTTAGATTAAGAAGCTGAGATAAAACAAGAAGGATATAGCAGATAGGCCAGTCGTAGGAATTATCTCTTCCAGTTTGTATGGAATAGTTGTATATCTGAATACACAACTTGAGCATACTGTCCTTGTCAAGCCTTTCTTTCCGTGAACTGTGTTCGGCTTTGCAATCAGAACATGATGCTAATGGGATACCAATCCACCGATACTAATGATTCTGAAAAGGTGAAGTATATTCACTTAGTCCAAGACATCACCTATGTACGTTCTGGTAGATTTAGCCCCTTTTAACGCACTATCTGTAAGGTTTTACAAAAACGTCATTGGGGACCACTATAAGGCATCGATAGTGCGAGTCTGGAGGTAATGAGTAAAATTTAGGGCCTTGGGTTAATAACAATAATCGCTGTAAGACATGAAGATCGTAAAGTATCGTGCATAGTGTAAAAATAAGTATTTCGCTCTTGCAACAGCTAGGTTTCAAAATAGGGTAAGCAAGTCTGACCAATAAATCACGTTGTTTTTTTCGACACACTTACGGGTCAACCAGGTTTTTAAGCCAATTACTTGACAACACTTTCTCGGATAACACTGCCTTGGGTATTAATTGAAGATCAATGAAAAGCTTACTTTCAGAAATGTTGTGAAATTGTATCAGTTCCGCAAGTGTTTGTCGTCAGGAACGCCTTGTTTTCTCGTCTTTCTTCTACATTTATATTCGTCCCTTTATTAAGTTGGTTTGGCGTGATTGCTTAGGAAATCCTGCTTGGGCAGTCAACTTGTTGTCCCGCATTGGTGATTGTGAGCGGCAAAGTTGGGCAGGTAATATCGATCCAAGTGTGATTAAACTCACTGTATGAAGCGCGACATACGTAGCTCAAGTGGGTAGAGCAG